TGTTTGTGCATTTTGACGCGAAGTTGGTGCCATACTTCCAGCGTTTAATTTCTAGCAGTTTTGCTGCTGGAACCGCTAGAGAATGCAAATCATCGTTCCATTCTCTAGCGGTTAGTAAACCACTACTAATACAACCAACTTTCTAGCTGTTTCTCTTAAAACCGCTAGAAATTTTTTATTTTTTCCAAGAAGTTGTAACACATGGCTGAATACAGGTGGTGGCGGAGTGTAACAGCTAGAAATTTCTAGCGGTTTTATTTAAATCGCTAGAAAATTCTATCAGTTTTATTTAAACCGCTAGAAAATTCTAGCGGTTCTGCGAAAACCGCTAGAAAATCACAGTCTATATATACCCCCCACCGCATCATTTTCACTTTTTTGGCAAATTTTGAAGCGAAGCTCTACCGAATTCTCTCCACGAAGTATATCTAGATCCAAATCCAGATCCACATTTTTAGGTAAGAATAGTAATTTATTTATAACTAATTTTTGTTTTTATTTTTTATTTTATTTTATTTTTTATATTAAGTTTAATAGACTAGCTTAATTTAATTAGAGTTAATAGAAATGTTTTTTTATAGTAGACTAGTTTTTATAGAGTTAATAGAAGTAGTTTTTTTTTTATGAGTTAACGACAAATTTAAATATGGGAATATCAGTTTTTCAATTAATATTATTTGATATTATTATTTAGAGTTAATAGAAATAATTATTATTTGATATAATTATTTATTTTTAATAATTGTTAGTTGTAAAATATACTTTTCATTACAATTGCTATTTGCTATTATTAGGATGAGTCGTCGAGCAGGGAAAGAGCCAATTGATCCTGGGAGAGCAGGACCCAGCGAGGATTGTGGTGGTGGGAGTCATGATGCTGGTGAGCTATTCCCGAGCATTCATGACTACGATCAAAACAAGGAGGATATCCTGAGTTTTATGGAGCATGATGATATCCAGCGAACTAAGGAGGCTTATTTCTTGGGGGATGAACAACCCCATGGTGATGCTGGTGAGGAGGAGGAGGAGGAGGAGGAGGAGGAGGAGGAGATTCAGGGGAATGAGAATCCCCATACTGAGCAGCGTCCTGCTCCCAGACGTCAGACCGGTTTTGAAGTAGAAATTGAGGATAAGTATTTATTTAACTTTTTTAAATTTGACAACTATTTAATTTATATAGAAATTGTTTTAATTAATTAATATATAATTAATTTCTTAATTAAATTTTACAGACTCTAAGGGAAACAGGTCTTATAGGAGGCTGATAACTAGAGAGCTGTCTATGACGACGAGCGGACGGGTGGTTGTGCTGCTGAATGAATTAGGTTAACCGACCAAGAAAGGTGGCCAGTTATGTAATAAGTATGTGCGTCTTCTTGGTCAGCAGTGGACCCTGTTCCCTATTTATGTGAAGGATTGGAAGAAAATTACTCTAGAGAAGAAGCAACAAGATTGGGAAATGATGAAGGTAACATAAAATTATTATTTATAATTTTCTAATTTAAGTAAATGAATATATATTTTATTTTTAAATTATTTAATTGTTTTATTGTAATTATTTATTTATTTATTTATTTATTTATTTACAATATTTTAAATTGGTTTAATTAATATATATATTTTATTTAAATTACTTGATTATTTGATTATAATTTGTTATTGGTGTAATTTATTTTTATTCCTAATATTTTGAAATTAGTTAAATGAATATATTTTTTTATTTAAATTATTTAATTGTTTGATCATGATTTGTTATTGATGTAATTTATTTTTATTTATAATATTTTGAAATTAGTTAAATAAACACATATTTTTTATTTAAATTACTTAATTGTTTGATTATAATTTGTTATTTATTTCATTAATTTATTACTTATAATAATTTTAAATTAGTTGAACGAAAATATATTTTTATTTAAATTACTTAATTGTTTGATTATGATTTGTTATTGATGTAATTTATTTTTTATTTATAATATTTTTAAATTAGTTAAATGAATGTATTTTTTTTATTTAAATTGCTTAATTGTTTGATTATAATTTGTTATTTATTTAATTTATTTTTTATTTATATTAACGAAATGAATATAATTTTTTATTTTTTTAATTACAGAATAAATTTATACAGGGAGAGGAGTTGAGAGTGGATACGATCAAAAGACTTGGGGTGGCATGGAAGAACAGGAGGGCTGACCTGTAGCGGGAGAAGAAAGGTGACGAGATGAGGCCCCTGCAGGAAATACTAGCAGATATACCAAGTGGAGTCCCGGAGCAAGACTGATCGAGTTATGTTTATTTTAGGATGTCAGCTCACTAGATAGTATGATAATATTGCATACATTATAATTTTTTTTATTTTTTGTCCAATTTAACTAATTTAATTTAATTTTTTTACATTTGTTTTAGGCTCTTTCCTAGAGAAATACTGAGAGCATCAGGTAGCAGACAATACGTCATAGGGTTGGATCCAAGAGCTTTGCTATCACCTATGATGAGATTGTAACTACTTGAAAAGAATTTGTTAAATGTGTATATGTATTTAATTTGTAATTAATAATTTCTTTCATTTCATTTACAGAGAAAAAAGACGTAGCAAGATCAGGGATACACGCCCACTTATGGCGAGATGTGGCCGATTCTATACAGGCCTCGAGATGGGCCTGCGTTAGATGAGGTTGAGGAGATGGCAGTAAATAATTAATTAAATATTAATATCATATCGCAGTATAAATATTATTTCATACTAATTAATATCTTTATATTAATTTTGATAGGTGCGGATGATTTAGGTCGATACCGAGCTGCGTGAGTCTCAAGGGTTTGCCTTAGATCCCACCGCCTCACTTTTAGCGGGTGGTGGCCGAGCGCAGCACCTTGGTCGAGTTAGTGGGCTCGGTCTTGGACCCATATTGACTATGTTGCCCTGCTTAAGTTGCGTTGGCCCTTCATACACTATGGGGAGCTCTCAGGCGAGCGCAGGAGCGAAGCGGCCAGGTCCTTCATCCTCAAACGAGCTACAATGGGAGATCAGGCAAGAGATGGAGGCCAGGATGGAGGAACATGATTGTCAGTTCAAGTTGTAGCTTGACTAGTTGAAGGCAACTGCTATGGCCATGCGTGATATGGTGATTACTATCACTCCAAACATCCCGATTCCCGAGATCCCTGACGTACACCTGCCACCAATCCAGCCCCAGCACGATCAGCAGCCTACTCACCCCTAGCAGAACTAGCAGGAGGATCCAGCGCCCGACGATCACGATGATGCTGCTTCTGCCTCTCACCCCTGATTTTTCTTGTTTTCCTTGTGTAGGATTTTATTTGGATTTGGATTTTATTATCTTATGTTTTATGTGGATATTTATTTAAATTTTATATTTATTTGTTTACTTTTATTATTTATTTCTATAATTTTATTTATATCAAGTATTAATTAATATATTGTTGTGCTATATAAAACATGCTAAACATATATCCTTTTAACATTAAAATTCTTTCTTGGAACATATCATGGAATTTTTTTAATTTTATGCATACATATATTACTGATACCTTTTAATACTTATTTATTATTTTATTATTTTTGTAAAATTTAATTTAATAAATATTAATTTATTCTAACTGACACTTTTTAGTGGTTATAAACCGCTACAAAACCTGAAAAATGTTAACAATTTCTAGCGGTTAACATTCGCTAAAAAAGTCACCCCGTTACGGTGAAATTGAAATTTCCCTCCTCCTTTGAACTTTCTAGAAAATAAATAACCATTGGCAAAAAAATTTCTAGCGGTTCAAAACCGCTAGAAAATAGATAATCGTTGGCATATTCAAATTTCCCTCCCAGCTCGAAACTTCTAGCAGTTATAAACTGCTAGAAAACCTATAAGCATTAGAAAATGCTTTTGAATTCAGATTTCTAGCTGTTAAAACTGCTAGAAATTTCTAGCGGTTTAGAACCGTTACAAAAATTTGACCATTATGTATCCGTTGGCAGCCTCCTTTATAAGCTGAAGAACTCCATCTGAAATTCATTTTAACTTCTCTTTGAGCTTTCCATGTCATATGTTCACAAAATTTGAGCAACATTAGTTATGGATAGGTCGTGGATCAACTTGCACCGATCGACTCCGCAATACTTGGCTGGTCTAAACTATTTCTTGGATTTTGCTTTCGCCAATGCCGCTGTAAATGGTAAGATTCAATGTCCATGTCCTAAATGTAATTTCAAGAAGTGGCATCCAAGAGATATTGTTAAAGAATATTTGATCTTTAAGCTCTTCCTGCGAGAGTATGTATTTTGGCAACTACATGGGGAACGACTAGATATGGTTGCTAAGTCAGTTCCAGTAGTTTCACGGATGGGAGTTCGAGTGCATGAAGCCGATGCCGTGAACGATGCTGTGCGTGATGCTTTTGGCGTTCACAAAAGTGAGGATCCCAACGAAGATGAAGTGGAGGGGCCTCAATCGGAGTTTCTTAGAAACGAAACTACTCGAGAATTTTTTGACCTCATGAGCGAAGCTGATAAGTCTCTTTATTCTGGGTGCACAAAGTATTCTAAGTTGTCATTCTTGGTAAGGTTATATCATATCAAATGCTCGTGTGGTATGACTGACAAGGCGATGTTCATGCCATTGGAATTACTGGGAGATGCTTTCCCTTAAGTTGAATTCCCTTTATCTTTTTATGAAGCAAAGAAGATTATTAACAAGCTTGGCTTGAACTATAAGAAGATAGATGCATGCCTAAAAGACTGTATGTTGTATTAGAGAGATGATGCAAATAAGGACATTTGTATGAGATGTAAGACGTCTCTCTATAAGTCGATACGGAAGGGGAAAAAGCAGAAGAAGAAACCAGCCAAAATTCTCAGGTACAATTTATTATAATGGATTACTTGTTAGTCTTTAAATATTCGATATTTGAAATTTTTAATACATTATTTCATTAGAAACTTTTCTTTGAAACCGCGGTTGCAAAGAATGTATATGTCATAAAAAATGGCTCAGCACATGAGGTGGCATGTGATTGAGGAAAATCCAGATGGCAGGTTAAGGCACCTACGAGATTTGGAGGCGTGGAAAACATTTGATGCAAAATTTCTAGACTTTACCAGTGATCCTAGAAATGTACGTCTTGTATTAGCAACCGATGGTTTTAATCCCTTCAGAAACATGAGCACAAGTTACAGTATCTGGTCGGTGGTGTTAATTCCATACAATCTACCAATTTGGATATGTATGAAGCAGAGCTCCTTTTTGCTTTCCATGATCATTCCTCGCAAGAAAGCATCAGGAAATGATATAGACGTATACCTGCAACCGTTGATGCACGAATTGATCGGCCTATGGATGAATGGTGTTGAGACACATGACTCATATGACAAGCGACTATTCAATCTCTGTGCAGCCTTGATGTGGACAATAAGTGATTTTTTCAGTTTAGGAACTTTGTCTGGCTTGAACGTGCATACTGGGTTGGCCTGTCTTGAGTATAATTTTGATGCCGTGCCATGTAGCCTTCCACACAGTCGCAAGTGGTGCTTCATAGGACATCGATGGTTCCCCGATTTGAAGCACAGATTTAGATTGCAACAGATTCACTTTGATGGGAAACAGGAGAAGAGAGATCCTCCTATTACTTTGTCTGGTGTGGATATTTTGCGACAGTTAGAAGATGTTAATGTCGAGTTTGGTAAGAATGTGGATCCCGAACGATTGGGACGACGATCTCGTGGGACATCTAATGCGCAATCTATACAATGGTAGAAGAGAAGCATATTTTTCACTCTTCCTTATTGGGAATCTAATTTGCTACAACACAGTTTGGATGTTATGTGCATTGAAAAAAATGGGTGCGATAATGTGCTATATACGTTGCTTAACGAAGTTGGAAAGTCTAAAGACCATCTCGCAGCTAGAAAAGATTTACAGACCTGGGGAATTCGTGAAGAGGCTTGGCCTGATGGAAACAACAAGTTTCAACCAGCTAAATTCACCTTAACAAAGCAAAATAAGGATATCTTCCTTTCAATGCTGAAGAACATAAAAGTACCTGATGGATATTCTAGCAACATCTCAAGGTGTATCGATCTGTAGGCTCGAAAGGTTACTGGGTTAAAAGGTTATGACCCCCATGTTCTTACACAATAGTTACTTCTACTGGCCTTGAAAAACACACTTCCTTCTGATGTATCAGTGGTTTTGGTAGAATTGTGTTCATTTTTCAAGAAGTTATGTGCGAAGGTCTTGATAGCAGAAGAGCTTGATCAGCTGTAAAATAAAATAATTCTTACACTTTGTCACTTGGAGATGATATTTCCTTCATCATTCTTCACTGTTATGGTTCACTTGATTGTCCACCTTATTCAAGAAGCAAAGGTTGCTAGCCTAGTTCACTATCGATGGATGTACCCTATAGAGAAGTACTAGATTATCTTTTATTCCCGCCGCTTTAAATTTCACATTGTTATTTCATTTGCTTACAATTATTAATGGAATATTAACCTGTAGGTACTTGGAAAAATTAAAATCATATATTAGGAATAAGGTGTGGCTTGAGGGGTGAATAGCATAAGGTTATTCCGGAGATGAGGTCCTAACTTTCTGTTCAAGGTACTTTGATGACATGGAGACATCTTTTAACCGCCTGCGTTGCGTAAATGATTTTCGTCCTGGTCCTTCCACGTCAACTTTATTTCCTCCTATCGAGAAACCAGTTGGAGGATATGAATTCTTCAGACTCACTCCCACAAAAAAACTCCAAGCACACACGCATGTTTTGATAAATTACAGCCAAGTTGAACCCTTCATGCAGTAAGTATTATATAAGCTTCCTAACTTTTACACTTTATATTTATTTCTCACTAACTCTTCTAACAAATTACACTTCATTGTAGTGAGTTTAGAAGTTACCTCAGGTGGCAGCTATGAGGGCGTGTGTGTTCCGCTGACATTGATAAAAGAGTCCACAAAGAATTTCCCGGTTGGTTTACACGTCAAATACGTGATGACAACATCCCATACACAGATGAATTCAAAGCTCTTTCCCTCGGTCCGTTAGACCATGCACGAAAGTTTACCGCGTATAATGTCAAGGGCTTCAAGTTCTGTATGGTTGGATGTGATCAGGGATTGCTTACACAAAACTCTGGAGTTTGCGGGACATTCGGGATGAGATGTTATGCTAGCAGCAGTGACGGCGATATGCACTTTAGAGGCATCACTTACTATGGAAAGCTAATTGACATCGAGTTAAGTTACCAGCTTTTCACCGTAACTCTGTTCAAGTGTGATAAGCCTCATTATTTACATATATTTCTAGTCCTGAACTTATGCTTTTGCCATTTATATTTGCATATTTTGGGTATAATTAGCTTTCATTGTGCATAAGAGTTGGTGAAGGAAGTGGTGAGATTTTCTTTGTGTTTTTGCATGATTTTATGTGATTTTATTTATGTGTACTTTTGATCCTTGTTTGGTGTGAATTTCAGGGAGCTTCACTAGCATTTTTTGCATTCTGTCTGAGGTGCCAAGGCATATCACAAAAGGCGCTATGACGGTTTTGCAGGAAGACTCTCGATAATAGGAGCCGTGGCGGATGATAAAAAGCGCCACGACGGACACAGTTTAATGAAGAGCTTAGAATCACTAATTGAAACAACACCGTTTTGGCTAGGCATCGCGGCGGATATCAGAAGGTGCCGTGGCAGATGACGGAAAACTTTAGTTTTAAATACAGAAGTTGCACGCTTGTGCAGGGGATCGGTTCATTCAGTTCTCCCACCTCTAGATCACCGGTTTTCTTGTTCTCTCCGCCTTCTCTCAATTCTCTCTTCCATTTTCGTCCAAATCCTTCATCTTCCACCGACCATTCATGGATCTTCCATTGATTCTTGCTGATTCTGTTGCAAATCAAAGCATGAGCAGTTGAATTCTCAAGTTCTCATAGCAATGAAGCTAACCTGAGTTCATGGAGCTGAACAGGGAGTCTTTTTAGATCTAATTTCCACCTTTTACTCTAAGATTCATTTGTATCAGTTGAACATTTGTGATTAGAATGAGAATTGTGTGATTAGATTTATGTTTCTTGCAATTTAGATCTGATTGAATATTTGGAAGTGAGCTTGTGTCCTTTAATTCAGTTGAATAGAGGATTCTCTGATAATTTGTTGATCTAATTCGTTTTTACTTGGACTATTGTTCTGTAATTCTAAATGTGATTGAATGATTTTGATGGATCACAGTTGTGGACATCCTTAGAAAATTGCAACTTGCTTCTCAAGTGTTTTAATCAATTGATTTTTCCTTCTCTACAGATCAAGATAATGAATCTAGTAAGATAGTTGTTATTGACTTGTGGATTAGAGATATTTGAGCAGTAGCTGAATTTATCCTTTTAATTGACTCTAAGAGACTCCAAATTATAAGATTGAACAAGGAAGGAAGGATGAATAGCTAGGGGAACTATCATTTCTTATCTGAATCTCTTTTGTATTTTAGAACCTTTGTTATTACCTTTTGTTTTGAATTTATTCTCACTTAGATTTTCCCCTCTGAAACTCAATCCTTTACCTTGCTTGGTAACTTGATAATTAAAGTGAACTGTCAAGAATTAAACTACAACTTAAGGCTCATTGAGAAGAATGACCTAGGTAGTGCCTTACCTGCTGCATTTCCCTAGTATAATTTTGATTACCTAGCGACAGGATTTATCAAAGTGCTCTTGGGCAAATACAACAATTTCACGGGGACTCGTTATTGACCACTTAGGCATCATCTCTGTTAATTTCTCTAGACTTATTCATACGGAGGAATCTGAAGATGATGAGCCATATATTTTTGCTTTCGAGGCACACCAGGTTTACTATGTCGAGGACGAGAAACATAAAGACTGGAATATAGTCGTTCACCTCAAGCCACGGGATCTTTATGATATGGGTGATGGTGACATTATTTACGACAGCAAACCCTTCTAACCCCCGAATTTTGGAAACTTCTTTCCTCAAGGAGACGATAATTTGACAATTATCAGGTATATGTCTTTTCTTAAATTATTTAAATAATTAGCTACTAATTACTAATTTTTTTCTAAATATATTATAACCCTAACATAATTTTTTTTAATATCTCCTTTTAGGCAGAATGATGATCAAGAATAGCAATTTCAAAAATTTTTATCATTCAAAAAATTTGTCTTTCATAAATAAATATGTATAAATTAAAATTGGTTCAGTTTTTTAAAAAGTAAAAAATTACAATTTGTAGCAGTTATATAACCGCTACAAAATGTAAAACCGCTACAAATACTAGCGGTTATATTATACACTAGAAAATGCAAAACCGCTACAAAATGAATTAAAACGCTGCAAAAAAACACTACAAATATCTCGCTGATCACTATAAATACCACATCACCTCTTCATTTATTTACCCCATCTCTTTTCCTTCCTCTTCCCTTCTTCTTTATAATGCTCTCTTTTTTTCTTACTCTCTAATATGGTGGTTTTTTTCTCTTCATTATATGGTAAGGTGATTTTCATTTTATAAGTCTTAATATCTTTTATTTGTCTTTATTTATAATTTACTAACATATTTATTTCTTTTTTTCTTTCAGATTTTTCTTCTTCACATTTGTCATACCCTCCTCAACTGATTCAAGCACTTCTCAATATAATAGTTTAGGTTCAATATCATAAACTATCTCATCTTCAATTCAACTATCTTATTAAATTAAATTCACTTCATTTGACATAATCATGACTTAATTACTTATTATTCATTACAAAATTCAAATGCATAACATGTAATACATTGGTAATTATACATATTAACAAAAATTCTCTAATATAATCTACTTAATGGTTTTTAAATTTATAATATTATATTTTTTAATAATCAAGCATCTCAATTTATTTTTTTGCCTGGAATAAACTTTCTAACTGTTCCCAAACCACTAGAAAAAAAAACGAGGGACAAATTTTGTAAAATTTAAATTTGCCGCCACATTTCTAGCAGTTCCTAACTACTAGAAATTATTGGCAGCAATTCTAAAATTTCATTTCCTGGCAAAATTTGATTTCCTTCAAACTTTCTAGCGGCTATAGAAATTTTTAGCGCCAAAATGAAAATTTTTGTTTCAAATTTTCGCTTAGAATTTTCTAGCGATTAATGAACTGCTAGAAATTTTTGACAATTTCTAGCAATTTATAACTGCTACAAATTTCGTCTTATTGCCGTTCGACTCCTTGTTTTTTCTAGCGGTTATTTTAACCGCTAGAAATTTTCTGACGTTTTGACCATATTGTGTAGCGGTTCCCATAACCGCTAGAAATCTGTTTCTTGCATTTGATTTTCTAACGGTTTGTCTAACCGCTACAAATGTTATTTGTTGCGGTTAAAACCGTTAGATACGTCATATTTTAACCGCTACAAAATACATGTTTTTTTTGGTAGTGTGGTTTACAAACTCAAAACAAAACTAATACTTTTCTAAGACTCTCTTAGGTGTATGCAAAAATTGTTTGATTTATTCTTCACACAATTAGAGTCGCTCGCTTGTGAATCTGCAGTAATTAAAGATCATGACCGTCAAGAGGTTATAATAATTATCTTCTGCTTCTTCCTCGGTTCCCCTACAGGTTGAGCCTCTATCTATCCTTTCACATGTTTCTTTATAAAATATTGGCCCCTTGGTAGGGTATATAAGGTTTGCTGGCAAGCGAGTAGCCACGTGATATAATGTATACAGTTAAAAAATGACTCCAATTTTTATTATTGATTTTTAATTTTACATGGACTAATTACATTTTGAGAAGCCAGGGGTGGAGAAACTTTTTAGGAGCCGAATTCTCCCTTTCAATATTTAGCCAAGGCATAAAATTATTTAACTTCCGCCAAGGTGTCTTTCCTCCGCAACTTCCGTTTTCTTTTGAAGGGTTGGACCGGTTGGCGGTGATTTTTGGATTTTTTTTTTTAATTTCATTTGTCCGAGGGAAAATTTAAAAAAAAAAACCCGAAATTATCAATTCTATGACAGAAAATGAAATTGTGCTTGATATGATATTTTACGAATATAATTAAATGATTAAAATATCCTTATATCAAATTTGGAGGGAAAAAAGTTATCAAACTTGTTACCAATATATTTTTTGCTTTGGCTATTTAACACGTATTATTATTCATTTACAACTTATTAATAAATGTTTTGTCATTGTCAGTATATTTATTATCATTTACTGTTTAACACTTGTTATTGTTGCTTCACAATTTGTTAATAAACTTTTGGATGTAAAAATATTTTGGTCATTTAACTACATTATGAGATCAGGCACAACTTCCTCTTCTAAAATTTTAAAGTGTTAAGTGTTTGATTTAAAATATTATAATTTTTAATTTTTTATTTGTCATTTTCAGTGGAGTAATTACTGAGTAAACTACTATGCGTACACATGTTATTATCCGGATTTTTTTTTTTTGACCTGAACATGTTATTATCCAATTGGAGAATATGTATACAAGTTTTTGACTTTTCAAAATACGCATCTGACATAAATGTACCAATAGTTTTTTTAAAATAAATAATAATAATAAAACAGTCATGTAAACTGGAAAGAAGATAAAGCTAACTTCTCGATCGACCTTGTTTTTTGATCACGAGATCGTTTCTTCGCCGCTAGTTGCTATGGGCAGCTTGAACGAGAACGTTGTCTCCAGTATGACTAACACAAGGGCTATGTTTCTCTACTTACTCTTCCAAATCCTTGTCATCATCTGCGTCACCTCCTACACTCATGATGATCATTTCACAGTCAACTGCGGTAGCTCTGGCAAGACTCTTTCCGCAGAGAACCGGAATGGACCGGAGACGTAGACAACGGTCTATTCTCTCCAATTGAAAACTCCAAGAGCAAACTCTCCGTCAGTGCCAAAGCTCCGGCTGGTAAAGCAATCCCCTACAGCAACGCACGCCTCTCTCGCTCCGAGTTCTTCTACTCATTTCCGGTGACCAACGGCCAAAAGTTCATTCGCCTCTACTTTTACCCATCTTCCTACGGCGTCAACTTCCTTCGCTCGGACTCTCTCTTCTCCATCAGAGCAGGATCTCACACCCTTTTGAAAGACTTCAACGCTTCGTTCGCGGCCGACGACGCCGGCCAAGAAACCATCTTGCGTGAATACTGCGTCGATGTGTATACCGGTGAGACCCTTAGCTTAACAATCACGCCCAGTCTATCTGATCCAAACACTTATGCTTTCATCAATGGGATCGAGGTCATTTCTATGCCGACCTTCCTTTATTACACAAACCCAGACGACCTGCAGGGGATGACGCTAGATGGTGGAACCCAACAGTATCAGGTCAAAAATAATAAAGCTCTCGAGACTATGTACAGAGTCAATGTTGGCGGGAGTCATATCCCTCCCGAAAAAGATACTGGCATGTTTCGTTATTGGGACCAGGATAATGCCTACTTGGAGAGGGAGCGCCCACATAGTGTATCCGCAGGTTTTGGTTTAGAGGTAGATCACACAAACTATCCAAATTATACTGCACCAGATGAAGTATACTTGACTGCCAGAAGCTATGGGATGAAAGAAACGTCTAAATTTAATGTGACTTGGGAATTTGAAGTTGACTCAGAATTTACTTATACGGTGAGATTGCATTTTTGTGAGTTTGATGAAAAAATTCAGAACAATGGAGACAGAGTTTTTCAGATTTTCATCAATGATGCTTTGGTGGAGCCTGTCGCTGATGTGATGATGTGGACTCACAAAGTATTGGCTCCTATCCATAAGGACTATGCGGTGTCAATGCCAAGTGATGATGGGAAGTTAAAGCTGAATCTTTCAATTAAGTTGCGACCACACCCATTGGCAAGAAGCACTTACAGAGATGTTTTATTGAATGGTATTGAAATTCTTAAAATAAGTACGGACTATAATGACAATCATGCGAGTCCTAGTTCGAATCCACTTCAATCTCCATCCACGCCATCCTCCAGGTCATCGAGGAACGGAAACAAAGCAAAGGTAATTTCCATTGTCGTTGGGGCTACATCAGGCTTCATTGTGTTGTCTCTCATTCTTTTGTTGATTTTCCGGCGATTGATGGAAGGAAGTTCATGGTGGGGACGAAAATCAATAGATTCGTCCAAAAAAAAAAACCCATGGGTCATCATTAACGACCGATTTTTGTCGTTACTTTTCTATAGATGAAATAATCAAATAAGAGCAGCCACCAATAATTTTGATAATATGTTCGTTGTGGGAGTTGGAGGGTTTGGTGATGTCTATAAAGGTTACATCGATAATGGTACAGTTCCGGTGGCAATCAAACGGCTCAAGCAAGGTTCCTAACAAGGGCTCAAAGAGTTTGAAACTGAGATTGAAATGCTCTCTCAGTTTCGTCACCATCATTTGGTATCTCTTATTGGTTACTACAACGATGACAATGAAATGATCCTTATCTATGAGTTCATGGCTCGTGGGACTTTCCGTGAGCATCTTTATGATTCTGAAAACCAACCACTTTCTTGGAATCAAAGGGTGGAGATTTGCCTAGGTGCTGCTCGAGGACTGCATTACCTACATACAGGGGCAAAGCATGCAATCATTCATCGTGACGTCAAGTCGAAAAACATCTTAATAGATGAAAACTGGATGGCCAAGATTTCTGATTTTGGACTATCCAAAATGGGACCTGGAAGTATCTCTAGATCAAACATTAGCATAAGCACATTAGTGAAAGGAAGCATTGGATACATGGATCCAGAATACTACACATGTCAAATATTGACGGAAAAGTCAGACTTGTACTCATTTGGAGTTGTGTTGCTAGAGGCATTATGTGGGAGGCCTCCTATTCTCCGTGCCGTGGAGAGGGAGCAGCAAAACCTTGTAGAGTGGTTTAGAAAATGTGTTGATCAAAATGAGATTTGTGAGACGGTGGATCCAAACTTGAAGGGAAGTATAACAGAAGAGTGCTTAAACGCATACACTGAGATTGCGTTGAAATGCTTGGCTAATAATGGGAATGAACGGCCATCCATGGGCGACGTGATGTTGGGGCTAGAGTCTTTGATGGAGTCGCTGAACGAAGCAGAGAAGAAAAAGCTTGGCGGGACTCTAAATGAGGAGGTTACTGTTGAAGAAGGCATCGAGGAAGTGAGGTTTGACGTGGACAAAATTGAAGGAAGGAGCAAGGAAAGAGCTCTGATCAGGAAAGCGACAAAAGCTGTAGAAAGAGAAGCAGGTTTTACGAGCAGTGATGGATCAAGGAATTAATCAAACAGCAGCAAGTTGAAGAGGTCAAGCGGCGAGCATTTTAAGTTAGATCATCCAAAAGTTTGATGAAATGAAGGTCACTAATGCAGGCTATGGTTGTCTGATGATTTTAAGTTACGTTCATTTCCATATATATGTGTGTGCGTGGTTGAGATTTGAGAACGTTGTGTAATTATATTTCCGATGCGCCAAACAATTTGGTTCAGTCCTTTTGTATCTGCATACATGAGTAACTATTAGATGGAAGACAAATTGCAATTATCTGACTTATGCTACACACAACAAAATTATGATTTTGTCACTGCCAAAAATATACTAAATATAATTAAAATAAAGTAAATTTTTATTAAAATGTTCCTTGATCATTGATTATGTGTGTGTGTAAAGTAAACGATAATTAGCCCGAGTAGGACCGCTTTTTCAGCAAATATTATATATATATATATATATATATATGTTCATGTTCAATTGGGGTCGCATCGGTCAGTAAAATTCCAACTTGTATCTTTTATGAAAATAAACCAAACTAATTTTACGATGCACAAATAAACATATAAAAAAATTTATTTCGATTTAAAAAAATGTTTTTTAAAAATAATTTTATGGCTTTATTTCCGAAGTTCTAGAGCACAAAAAGGAGAAGACTTCCATTTATGACGCTTTTTTATGCGCGCAAAAGAGTTTGGCTTTAGTGGACAATTCAAAGCACCAGATGTCTCGTGGAAATGCGCGCAAAGAGTTGACAGAGTAAAGCATTAATGAGCCTATGCTTGGTACTGAGACTATGCCGCAGGCCTAGCATAACTCTTTTTTTTTTTTTTTTCCAGTTTTTTATGGCCTTACTATTTTTAACCTTACGTGTGATTCTTTTTATCTCCCATTATATATTTTTTTGCCAGATATCTCCCATTATATATTTTTTTGCCAGATATCTCCCATTATATAGAAATGCATATTATAAAATTAAAACCATAGGAGGAAAGTCCGGGTAAAAGGCAAGTGATGGAGTTTCTATATAGCAATACTTGTTTCTGGTAAAAAAAAAAAATATTGCAATACTTGTGCTGTTTAAAAAACAAGAGAAAATTTCTAAATATCATTTTTATTAAAACATTTTTATAATTAATATAAATATTGTTTTATAACCAAATATTTTTATACCAAATGTAATATTTTTAATTTTAGTGATTGAATAATTATAAAAATAAAGAATCTTAATGTAGTTATATTTTGTTATTATTATAATTAAATTATTGTTATATTTTTAATACTTTGTTGTTAGGTTGGTTAACGTTATTATATTTTGTTGTTATGAATTAAATTATTTTATTTTTAATACAACCGGTTTGATTTTGAGTCAAACCCCAATCCGATCTATTAGCTCTTGAACTCGTGTTACAATCACGATTTTTTGTGGTTGATATTATGACATTAAATGGGCGATAAAGCTGGGAAAAGAGCAAGAATATAGGGTGTGCTCGTGTCATCTCCTCTGCCGAAAGGAGACTCCTCCTCACGTAAAACTTGTTCGAGAGAACAAATCAGGGAATTGGCTTAATCCATATATTGTGTCACTTTGTTCTTTTAAAAACTTTTTAAAATATTTATATAATTAAACGTAATAATCATTTAATAATATCTTTTCAATTATATTTTTTAAAAATTAATTAAAATATATATTTAAGAATAAGGATTTATAATACCCACTCATAATTAATTTTAAAAAAAAAGGAAAAAGAAAAACCGTCCCTTCCCTTTTAATTTAAGGTGTGTTTGGCATGAAGGATTTGAAAGAAAAGGAAGGGAAAGGAGGACAAGGGATTTTGATTATTTTTTCTTATTTGGCAACCTAAAAATTTTACGGGGGCAGGCTAATTTTCTAAAATTTTCTTTCCCTCCCCTCTAAAATTGAAAGGATTTGAAAGGAAAGAAAAATATTTTGTTATGTTGTAACTATTATGTCCATATTTATTTTCAATATCCCTATGCCATTTCAAACTTTTTACCCCCTCTTCAGACGCTGCTCTCTCCTTCCCTATCCCAATGCAGAGCCAATAAAATAACAAACAGATTATTCATATCATATCTTAAAGAGTTCTGTCATAAGCCAAGAAAATAACAAATGGATAAGAATTAAAACATATAACTATTATTGTTACCTATTGTAAGTATAATTGTAAGGTATAATTTTTGCAAAGAGACAAAATTATATAATATAATTTTATATTAAATTTTATTTATAATTCTATTTTATTCAACATTCTATAAAATTTGAAACAAAAAATCTTAAATAAAATAAGGGTAAAATTGTTCATCTTAAAATATTTTCTCCTCTCCTTTCATGAACCAAATAAAGTAACATTAAAACCCTTCTCATCTTTTTTTTTTTTTATAAATCCAAATGAAGTAATATTAAAATCTTTTCATTCTCTTTTCCTCATTTCTCCTCCACTAAAATTTCTTCCTTCTTTTTCTTTTTATTGAACAAACAAACCTTTGCTTTTGCCTCCGGGGGATTGTTGTGCGGCTAATCCATGTACACACCATGGTGACCTTGGGAAAAAAATCTCTTCCCTTCCCTTTCCATTCTCTTTTTTTAAATATTTTAATAATTCACATTTTATTTTTGGGTTACCATTATGTTAAGTATTTTGTCGTGTACGTCCAGTACCCTTAAACAATTTGTAAGATGTGTCCAACACTATTAATTAATTTTTCAACTGCATTTAGCATCTAAATTATTTTGTAATTAATTCTTCCACCACCTTGAAATATAAATTTTTTCCAGGTGCAACCAACAACTTAAGAAAATACTGAAACAATATTTTATGATGCTTAATACATATTCATTTAACAAACCTTTTGAAGAGTTAATAACAAAATCAAAATTGCTCATAAAATAATACTTTAAATGCACAATTATATTGCTTCTGAAAAATTAATAGTTCAAGAGAAAAATTACACCACAAAATATTTTAAAATGCTGAATACATCTAAAAAGTATTGTAAGGTGCTGGACACATTAAAAAATATTTTTTGATGTTTGTCGCACCTACAAAATATTTCAGGGTAATAGACTGGATGCATTTTAACCCTTTATTTTCAAAGTTATTACTAAAATGTTAAATTATAAAAAGTAAATAAATAATAAAATATAAACTACCAAATTTTAATGCCAACCGTTTACAGGCTTCTAAAAATATTTTATAAATAAGTTTTAAAAACATTAAAATCTGAATCATTAGAGGAGGAAAGAAGGGAAGAGGAGAGGGGAGGCGTTGCCATTCTACACACACACGACAGATCTTGATATTCCGTCTTCGAGTTCTGAGGCGCTTCTCCAAATGCTCGTTATCTTTTAAGTTCTTAACATTCTCGTTAATTACCTTCAAATAATTACTTTTGCAAATAGCTTTGTGTCCTTATTAGACTATAATAACAAGATGACATTTAACACTGGAGCCAATAGAGCACTTTGGGATGCCCAAAACTCCTCTAATTAATATGCAAAATCAAACAATTGAAATTGCAAAAAATACTGCATCTGAATTTTAATATAAAAACTAATTAAAATTCAACTTGATCTTAAATATAACATCTTAATATACTTTATTTTTAATATTTATTTATTTTATCTTTAAGTAATTTTTTTGTCAAGTAGTTTTTATGAAGAGTAACCGCTACACCTATGTCCCCTGCATGCACCTACTAAACAACACGCTCTGGAAATACAGTGTGATCAATAGACTTTCAGCTAACGTTTATTTCTTGGCACCACAAAGTCAGCCTCTAGTCATAAACATCACCGATGGCATTGTGTTTCTCGAGCTCTTTGTCCTTAAGACAATTTTCTTACAAGTATTCTTTTTATTGGAGAGAATTTTTATTCAATGAAATCGAACACGTTTTTTAATGCAGAATTTAAACATTAGTTTGTTATATTGTAAAATACTTGCCAGACATAACCCCCACTGGTATGTCTTCGTGGTCTTTGATTTCCCTTGATCAAGTACTCTTCTATAATCCTACTAATAGCAAAGAGTAGCACATCCGTATACATCATCCCCAGCCAGAATATCTTCTCACTAATTTTAGCTTCACTGCATTGAGCTAAGTTTTAGTCCAAGCATTTTCATATAACTCCCTAATTAACATGTCAACAGTGAGTTGGATGTTAAGCAGGTGAAGGTAATAATATATTTTCAAAAAGATTGAGTAAATATTTTTCAGGAATTGTGTGGATACTTTTTCTTTGACCAAGATGCCCCCAGAATCAATTAACTTGTGGGAATAAAATGTGACGCAACCCATTTTGGATGGAATAAATATGATAGTACTTGGCTTCAGTGTAGGCTTGTAGAGAGTAGCAATGGTCTTACGAGTAAATTAACGCAAATCTATGAAGTATATTGTGCCGGCAAGCGGCAAAGGATGTCTTCATTTCTGTTCTGATCCACTTCCCTACACTTCCTCAAACGGCGTCGTTTCAGTCTTTTTCTGGTGATCCCATCTGGTTAAAAAATACAGCGTCGTCTCTGCAAACACTTCCCCCCCACCCCCCTCTCATTCCGCCACAGTCAGAGGAAGACCTTCAAGTAATCCATGTTTCTCGTTGGCATCTCTATCTTTAAGGATTTCTTCCCAAGTCGATGACGCTAAGTCAACTGTTGTAATTTTTTTACCGTCACCATGAACAACAGACCAAATTTTGATGAAAATCAATCAAATAAACTTTTCACTTCTGCTTGCTTGCCCAATCTGAGAACCAAGAGGGACAGCAGCAAGAAATCTGATAATATGGACATTTGATAGGGAAGAAGATATGGATTGTGACCAGGTTGCTTGCTGACATGGACAAAATGGAGTTGTGGAATGCAGGAGAAGTGTTGTGTCGGAAGAGATCTTTCCAGGTTGTTTTGCATTGGTGCCATTTTGTTATTTCTTTCTTTTGGCAGAACGAGAGAGAGAGAGAGAGTTTGCAGAGATGACGCTTTTGTAGGTTAAAAATTGATATATAATACTCCTCCGGTCCTTATTATAAGACCCTATTTGACTTTTTATTTGGTCCTAATTATAAGACCCCAATCCATTTTGTCTCTTATATTTATGCATTTTTTCCAAGATAATCCTTCTAATAATGATAGTTTTAGCCAATATACTTAATTAGCAAGGATATTTTAGGAATAACAACACTTATTTATTATA